TTTGTGAAATTCATCTTTTAAACGTCCATGTATCTTATCTTCGGCACTGTAATTTATATTTCTGAGGTTTACGACTTCGCGTCGTTTCTTTGCTTCTGGCCTTTTCCTGTTTGGTGTGTCAATAGTCATGATGACTGGTCTGTGGTCGGTGTCTGTGATGTATTTGGGAATCACTCTTGAGTCTCTGATTTTTCTCAGTTTCGATCTTTTGGCCAGAAGAAAAATCAATTTGTGATACTATCTTTAGGTCATTCCATTTGTACAAAGTTTTAACTTGACTCCTTTAGTGTTTGGAGAAGGAATTTGATATGACGAGGTCACGTTCTGCGCACAACTGTAATAGCATTTCTCTATTGCTGTTTTGATCTGTTTCTCTGTCGCTGTGTGGTCCCATGTATCTCTCCCACGTCGTCTTCCTTGTATATCTTTGTCATCCACAGTGTTTAAAAGTTGATCATAGAACTGCTGATAGTAGAACTGTTGTCGCTGTTCTTCGGGGTATGAGTCACTGCATGGTGCATATATCTGTATTTGATGCTCCTCAGTAATCACTATATATCTATATTGATTCGTGTATACCGGCTTTATACGATACTCGTTACATTTTATATTCTTCAAATCTGTGTTATGCTTTTTTATATTTAGTTGTAGCAAAGCTTTAACAGCACTTGCAACACAAATAAAAAGTCACGTAAGCGCCGAAGATAAGAGGTGTTACAAGAGTGTAATAACATACACAGAAAAGAACGAGGACGGATGAGGACGTTTAATTGTTAATAGGGGAAAAGGAACAAACCACACCCCAGAGCACCCACCAACCTCCTGCTTCAGTTATGCATGTAAGATTGAAAGTGTTTTCAATTTTAATAATTTTCCAAATAGCAAGTTAAAAAAACTCATTAAAACAAAATGAGTGATGTTTTTCTATTGAAAATTGGACTAGTATTATGGAAAGTGTGCCCGTTTCTTTTTGGGGGGTTAATAGGGATCGGGCTCCCGACGTCACGCTCATGACGAAATAAACGGTAAATAGAATTGTACTCCTAATGTACTTGACTTTCATTTTTATATATTGATTCTACATAAAACAACAAACAAAATGATACCTCAATGGTTACGATTTTTCTGACGCTTTGAAGCAACATTTGGAAGTTTGGTGGCACAAAATCCAAAGCAAAAATTTGGCCACATCAGGGGGAAAATTGATTCACAAAACTACTCGCTTCTTCTGAACTAACAAAGACAGCAAACAAAATTTAAAAGCTCTGACTACAGAGATCCAAGTTCTTTCCTATAATCCTAAGGTCAGTGCCCTTAGAGAAGTTTGAAAAGTTCATTGAAGTGCTTAGGTAAATCAAAGGCCGGTTTTAACCCTAGGGATTGAAGAACATTGTTCGGTCCATCTACAAAATGACTGGGGTGAGGAAAACTTGAGATACTTGTGTTCTAGTAAAGTTCCAAAACGGGTGGCTGACGGGTGCTCTGGTATGGATTGCTCTTTATATCCAATCAAACATCTATCACCCTTATCTCTCTTCTTTCTTGTCTGTGCACTGTATGTTACGCTATATATAGTAACACGTCCTACTATCGGCATTGGTTTGAGCTATTTGAGTCGCACATGCTGTAAAACTCGTCAATTAAAAACTTTTAAAAATCTCAATGTCCCAAGCATTAGAACTGTGTTTTTATGATGTTTAACAACAATCAACGGATTTGAATTGTATCTTTCTGGACATAACCAAAAATCACTTTCAGTGATATTACCCCCCCCCCCCCTTTCCCACGACTTAATTTCTTCTTTTTTTCAGCATACGTATTAGAAATACCTTGCAACCGTGTTTCTTTCTAAGAACTGTAATGCTCAAACTTGCAATACGTTTTTGTCATTTGCTGTCTGAGCGTATGTGTCCTATGTTTTTATTTTTGCACTTGTACTTGTTTGGTTTGCTATCGGTAAGCTTGCGGGGTTTCTTTTTTCTACACAGAATCCGCACACTAAGGAAAAACTAAAAATGGAACCAATAATTTGTAAGTAAAAGTATCACATTATGATTTTCAAGACTTTATTTATTTAATTTCTTTGAATATCAAAGGCCCTTTCTCACCTCGCACGTAGACCTGTACAAATGGACTGTCTCCGCTCATATCTCCAAAAGCGCTGTTCACCGCGACACACCAGAACTTGTGATTACCTCCCCTTGACGGCACAATCTCGTAGGAACATTTGTTGTTTCCTGTGCATGCATCAGCAGTTTTTGTTCCTGTTGGCGTCATTGTGAGTCTAAAGCTTGCTGCTGGGTAGACAACTCCCACAGAACATTCCATTATTATATCTGATGTAGCTGACGGACACAGGTTATACGTTCCGGTCTCCTCAAGTCTCACGTTCTTTCTCTCCAACGTGACACCTTCTGGGCCGTCTGGGTACAGAGATGTCCACACAAAAAAGGTGATAATTTGGATATGGAACATTTGTAAACAACAATAATAATGCAAAAAAGAAAAGACAACAAACGTAAGGGAATGAAAGTCAAAAGAAAAATATTGAAATTTTAAAATGTACTAAGACAAGCCTGAGCACCTTAGACCCCCCATCCCCCCCCC